CTGGATAGAGTGGGAGAACAATGTGGAACAAAAGTTAAAATCATTTAAAAAAAAAGGACCAGGTTTGCTGGTCTGATAGAGGCTGATGGAACCACTGAGACTATGGCCCCTAGTTGCCCTTCAGGTCTGGAATTGAACCCACTCCTGTGGCTTCCAGCCAAACAAAAGGCATATGAGCTTAACATTTACATTGGGTAGATACACTCCTTGGAGAGAACAATCATGGGAGAATAGAAGGGCTGTGTATACACAGGGAGACAGCTCAGGTGGCAGGAGTGCATGGGAGGGAAGGACACAGGGAAGAAATAACTATGGGGAGGGAGGTAGTGGGCGGGGAGCTGTTGCATTGTGGTAAATAAATTGTAGTCAATGTCATGAGAAAAAGTGTGTGAGCTGCTGTATGGAAAGTGAATTTGCTGTAAACTTTCACCTAAATCACAATAAAAATTAAAAAAAAAGTGTATGGATAAACTTGGCATATGAATTTTTGTCTGACTGAACATTGTAAGGTAATTAGACATTAATATGAAGTTGTGATTATCACTGTGTCAGTTTGGCATGTATCTTATTTGCATTTCCCATATAACCTTATGTGGATCCTAATAAGATTTTGGTGTACTATATTTTTTAAGTTTTATGTTTATAATAATAATAATTTCCTGAATAGCCTTTCTTTAACAGCTCTTTCTTTTCTAATTTTAACTTTTTATCAAAGAAAAGAGAATGTTAAATATTGACTATCTAAAATGTAATAAGGGAGCTCTGGTAGCATAGTGGCTAAGACACTTGCCTGCTAACCAGACAGCTGGCGGTTCAAACCCACTAGCCACTCCTCGGAAGGAAGGTTGGGCAATCCTACTTCCATAGTGATACTGCCTCGGAAACCCAAGGAGGGGTCGCTATGAGTCGGGTTTGACTTGACGGCACATAACAACAACAAAATGTAATAAAGTTAGTCATAAAATGAGGATTTTAATTGATGAATTACAATATGGTGTCTGCCCTTCTTACCTCAGTCCAATAGATGTCCTTTTCTTTTAGACATTTATTTACCAGTCCAATCAGGTTTGTTAATTAGTATAGGCATAAAAAACTCTAAACCAAACTCACTTCCATTAAGTTGATTCAGACTCATAGTGACCCCCATTTCCAAGTTTGTACATTTTCATGGAAGCAGACCACCTCATCTTTTTTTCCATAGAGCAGCTGGTGAACTCGAACCACTGACCTTTTGGTTAGCAGCCAAATGTCTTAACCACTATACCACCAGAGCTCCTTAATATATGCATAGTATTTGTTTTTTGGATTTGCCTTTTATGATTTCGCAAAAGTGTAAATAAAAAGGAAGGGAACATGCTATTTTAAAATCAAATCTGTCTCAGTGTACTATTCAAATTTCTGAAAATTAAAAAAATATGACACACAGATGCTTTAAGCTAAACAGTGGTTTATATGCACTGTCTAATGAAGGGTGTCTAAGTAAATCATTGTGTCAAACCAGCTTCTTACTATAGTTTTATTCAGGCTGGTGCCTGAGTCCAACCAGATGTTTCTGTTCTTAGAACCTTCTTTTATTACTGACTGACACTAAGTAACACATATAATTAATATGCAAATAAAATTATCTATATAATTAGTACTTGGAGACAAGATTTTAAATAGTTCTTGTCTGCACAGATCACTTTACATATTTATATTTCTGAGAAAGGTAACTATCTAATTATGTGGATTTCCCACAACTATGGCTAATTTGGGCCAATTTCTAGAAATCATGTTCTAATTAGATAAAACTAATTTTTATAGGTAGTTTAACACTTTGCTCCTTGATGTAGACAGGAAGAAATATCTTTATATAAGCAAGTGAAAAACACACTATTTATGAGGATCTGGATCTAACATCTATTTGAATCAGGCTCAGAAGAGTCTAGAGGACCAAAGAAGAGAGAGGGCTGATATGAATGCTTTGCAGGGCTTCCAACTGATTCATTCCCGCTAGAGTCCCTGCTGACAATTTGCATTTCCACCCCAGATATACTGAAATATAATCTATAGATTTTAACAAGATCTGTTGTAAACATAAGAATCACTGAGGCTTTTGATAAAATATAGATTCTGATTCAGTGTATCTAGAATGGAAATGCAAATTATCAGCAGAGGGTTGAACTGGAATGAACCGGTTTGAAGCCTTGGTTCTTTCATAAAATAGAACGATGTCAGCTGCCTGCCCAATTCAGCTCTTGTCATATCCATGCACTATCCATGCTTCTGTCAAGCAACCAGCTTTTTATCTATATCACCAGGCCATTGAGAAAAACATAACGTCTCACTTTACTCTGCTGCCTCTGCCAAATTATATAAACTATAATTTCAGCTTGGGCTGGATATTTTGTATGAATTGGTTATGATAAGAATACAGATCATGTCTCTGTATTAATGGAGAGTGCAATAACAGAGGCACACATTTGAGACACCAGAGGTTATATAGCAGGGAGAGATGATTCTTTTGGATGAAAGATTCAAAATTTCCTCCAAACATTAGCATTAACAGATCATCTATAATACATTACTAATTTCTAGATCTTGGAGGTATACTTATGGAGTGTCTATTTCTAATACTAATTGTGCAATTTATAAAACATAGAGAAGCACATACCACTATATTAATTAAAAAAGGTTAAAATGCTGGTATAGGAGTCCCTGGGTAGTAAGATGGTTAATGCATTCAGCTACTAACTGAAAGGCTGGTGGTTTGAGTAAACCCAGAGACTCCTTGGAAAAAAGGGCTGGTGGTCTGCTTCCAGAAAATCAACACTGAAAACCGTGGTGCACAGTGCTACTCTGACACACATGAGGTTGCCATGAGTACGAATCAACTTTGCAGCAACTGGTAAATTGCTGACGTAAATTAATTTTGATTTATGTTCTCCAAATTTATTAACTTTAAAATTCTTATCACATCAAGATTTCTAGCAATTACAAAAACAGCCATCAAACATAATAGCCTGCTAGGTTTTAAGCCATGAACAGGGGTTGTTTTTTGTTTACTTGTCTTCTATAGGTCTTTCATTAATTTCAGTACAGTTTATTTTTATTAGGGATATTGCAACAATACTGGAAATACAAACAAGATGTGTGAGCAGCTGTTAAATGTCACTCTGCAGTGTGACATTACTAACTTCAAAGGGATCTTTTTGTCAGCCAGCGTAAGAAGGCCTTTTGAATTAAAGCACTAAGTTACGCAGTGGAGCCATGAAGTTAGGTAGTGGAGGCATGAAATAGCAAGTTCAAAACAAACGAACAAAAATACTAGTGCTTAGCAGTGTTTTGAGAGGTGATGTTGTTATGTGCCATCAAGTCGGACCCGATTCATAGCAACCCATTGAGAGGTGAGGGTCTCAACTAAGTAGGGACTCCTGGGAGCTCTGGTAGCATAGTGCCTAAGGCATTTGATGGCTAACCAGAAGGCTGGCAGTTCAAACCCACCAGCCACTCCTCAGAAGAAGATTGAGCCATGTACTTCTGTAGAGATACACCTCGGAAACCTAAGGAGGGGTCACTATGAGTCAGATTCTACTCGATGGCAGTGAGTTTGGGTTTTTTGGTCTTGGGATGGTGATTCAATATCATAAAATGTTAAGAAGCTCTGGTAGCATAGTGCTAACCAGAAGGCTGGCGGTTCAAACCCACCAGCCACTCCTTGGAAGGAAGGTAGAGCAATCTACTTCCGTAGTGATACCGCCTCAGAAACCCAAGGAGGGGTCCCTGTGAGTCAGGCCGACTCGACGGCACATAACAACAACAACAATAAGTAGAGTTATAATAGGACTCCTCAGAACAACCAACCTCTAAATGTTTGAAAGTATAAAATCACACTTTGTTTCGTAAACTGCATGTTAATTTGGGGTACTCTTTGTTAAGGCTTATTTCTTGTTCCCCAGGGCCCACAACTGTGCTGGGCCTATAATTGGTGCTTAATAAATTCTTAACCCCAAAACCAAACCCACTGCTATCAAGTAAATTCTGACTCATAGAGCCCTGTGAGGTTTCCGAGTCTGTAAATCTTTGTAGAAACCGACTGCCTCATCTTCCTCCTGAAGAACAGCTGGTGGGTTTGAACCACTGGTCTTCCGGTTAGCAGCAAATGCCTTACTCACTACACCACCAGAGCTCCTTCCCTTATTTCTCTAGGGGGCCAGAATGACTCCTTCTGCATGGTCAGCGGTTTGAGATTCTCTTTTCTTCGATTTCAGTCTTACTCTATTGCTTTGTCTTTGCAGAGGGAGAATTTTTTTTTTTTTTTTTTATATAAGGAATTATCCATTTATTATATATTTCACATTCCTATATCTCTACTTTAAAGATTAGCACCGATTTTAGGGCCATCTGTTATGTATCAGGGAAGCTCAAATGCATGAACATGGTGCCAGTAATCAGTAGCTTGTGAAATCTGGGACAATTACCTGTCTATAGTGATGGTATGTATGTACTTAACCACCAGGCTCCTACCTTGTGAGCAGCTGGATTTTGGAGCTGGCAGACAAAGATAATTGTCATATTCTTGCAGATCACAATAAACCTGGGATGGAAGCTGAGCTGCCAAGACTGATTTCATTACCTCTATAAACAGGACTTAGTAGTCTGTTTGACATTAACTGTAAATTTTACAGATAAAGAGCTTTAGTTTTTTTTTTTTTTTTGGTCCAAATAAAAAATAGTTCCATTGTATTACTTAGCTCAGGACTCCTGAGCTGGTGCAGATGGCTAAGTGATCAATTATGAGGCAAAAGACTTCTAGGAGTGCCTCAGAAAACAGTTCTGGTGGTCTACCTCTGAGGTCACAACCTTGAAAACCCTATGGGATTGCTAGGATTTGGAATCAACTCCATAGCTAGGATTTGGAATCAACTCCACAGCAATCAACAATGATACTTTGGTTTCCATTTCATGACCCTGGAAACTTTTGAATATTCAACACATTTGTATATTTACATAGAACTTACTCATAGTGCATTTGATTTTGTTCCAAGGCAGACTGGATGGATTGGGAGTTCTTTTCACTCACAAAGAAATCCACCGTCATGTTAGCAGTTACATGGTGAGTGGCATCTGGATACCAGAAGTCAAGCTGCCGAGGTGAATTCAGTGTTAGTCATAGTTATTTACTTATTCACCCAACATATATTTATTAGAAATTATTATATGTCATCACTATGAAAGGAATTTGGTTTCAATGGTGACCCATTGAACTCTCTTCTTAATGAGTTTCTGAGACTTTTGCCAGTATATTTTAAAAGTACTGAACATTGAGGTTAACAAACCATGTAAGCTGATCACTTTTTCAAGGCATAACCCCCTGCAAAATGAAACCTATTGCTGCCTATTTGATTCTGACTCATAGTGACTCTATAAGACAGAGTAGAACTGGTTTCTAAGGCTGCAATCTTTACAGAAGCAGACTGCCATATCTTTCTCCTGCACAGTGGCTGGTGACTTTGAACTGCTGACCTTTTGGTTAACATTTGAGTGCTTAACCACTGAGCCACTAGAGCTCTCTTTTTAAGACATACTCCACCCCCCAAAAAAAAGCAAACTCACTGCCATCTGCCATTGAGTTGATTCCAACTCATAGCAACCCCCATTGGGTTTCCGAAGCTGTAAATCTCCACAGAAGTAGATTGTCTCATTTTCTTTCCACAGAGCAGTTGGTGGATTAGGAACCACTGACCTTCTGGTTAGCAGCCAAATGCCTTATCCATTATGCCACCAGAGGTCCTTCATAGTAACTATAAATGAGAGAAGCTCTGGTGGTACAGTAGGTAAAGAATTCAGCTGCTAACCAAAAAGTCAGTGGTTCAAACTTACTAGCCATTGTGGGAGAAAGATGAGGCAGTCTGTTTCTTAAAGATTTATAGCCTTGGAAATCCTAGGAGGCAGTTCCATTCTGCTCTATAGGGTCCCTGTGAGTTTGAATCCACTCAATGGTGGTGGGTTTGGTTTATCTATAAATGTAGAAAGAATGGTCAAATTTGGCTAGTCTTTTTTTTTTTTTCCACCAGTGTGGGTTTGCCTGGGATTGCTTCACAACTGATTTAGCCAGCGAACCTTGTTCTAATTGAGAATTTCAATGACATTCCCCTCAGCCAGACCTCAAGACAAGATTCCCCTGGGGACTCTGGAATTCCTGGAAGGTTTGTATCCACCAGATGCTGTAACCTCCCAGCTCTGTTATTTTTCTGGCGTTATAACCTTGGGCAAGTAACTGATGTTTTTCGAATGTCAGTATCCTTCCCTGAAAAATGGGGCCAACACAACTCCATTGGGAGTGTTGTGAAGGTTGTTAAGTAGCTATGAGGTCTAGGATATGCAGGCATCTAACAACTGATAATTCCCTTCTCTTTCTCTTCCCCTAGCTGAGAATTTCAGAAATTTGGTGAATGGTCCCAGAAGTATGGTATTTAGGTTAAAAAAACATTGAATAGATTCCAGTTCTTGTAGCTCTTAAAAATCACTCTCAGTTTGTTAAACCAAACAAAGTACAACTTCCCAGTCTGGCAAATGAGAGGGAAATGCTCAGTTTCTACCAGTCATGCCAAGCTTGTGACTATGTCTCAGTCCGCCTGGCTGTTCCTTAGTTGCAGCTCACTCTACCTCTAGTTCAATCAGTTATGTGACAATATGAGGCTACTGTGAACCAAACAATCTGTTTATTTTGATCAAAATGCTGTAACATGGACTGGGCATATGAGAAGTGTGTTATTTAAAGGAGACTTAGGCAGGCCCAGCTAATCACAGTAGCAATTTCTCTGTTCTAACAGGGTGATGTGGAGCAGGATTATACAGCTGACTGCATTTTCATAAGCATTTGTAAGCTTTGGGCACAGAACCAGGCACCACGGGTATACATGCTAGTAAAGAGCTTATGAGAAGCAAGAGGTTTAATGTGGGAGTCAGAACCACATATTCCAAAATGACAACCAATGACAGGGACAAGCACATAGTGCTTATGGAGGACAAGGAGCCGGACTGGGTCCCAAGAGTCAATAGTTATGGAAGACTTTCTGTAAGAGATGCTTTCTGAGTCAGGTTTTGAAGAGTAAGTAGGAGTTAGCCAGGTAAAAGAAGTCCTGGTGAGGCAGTGGTTGAAGAGCTTGGCTGTAAATTGGAAGGCTGGCAGTTTTAACCCATCAGCTACACTGTGGGAGAAAGATGTGGCAGTCTGCTTCTATAAAGATTTACAGCATTGGTAACCCTATAAGGCAGTTCTACTCTGTCCTAAAGGATCACTATGAGTTGGAATCGACTCAGTGGCAGTGGTTTGGTTTGGGTTTTTGAGCCGAATGAAAAAGAGGAGAAACATGTTCCTCATGAGGAAAAATGTGAAGAACCAAAGTTGGTGAGTGAGTGTTTGGTGTTTCTGGAGTGTGAAAAGTGAGGAAGAGGGTGAGGAAACAGGAACTGTGAAGACTGGCAGAGTTTAGACCACAAGGGCCTTAAATGTCAGAACACCACCAATAGAAAACACTCTAGTGCTTACCATGGCCAGGCCTGCTTCTGAGTCCTCCCTAAATATTACCTGTACCACTAATTTTCGTCAAGTCACTTCCAACTCATGGTGACCCCATGTGTGTCAGAGTAGATGCTTCACAGAGTTTTCATTGCCTGATTTTTTTGGAAGTAGATCACCAGGTCTTTCTGCAGAGGCACCTCTGAGTAGACTTGAACCTCCAAACTTCTGATTAGCAGCTGAGCTTGTTAACTGTTTGAGCCACCTAGGGACTCATCTTGGGTCATTTAATCTTTATAACGATCTTACAAACTAGTTATGAACATTATCTCCATTTTACTGAGGAGAAAATTCAGTGAGACCCAGTGAGGTTAAGTGACTCGCTTGAGGCCATGGAGCTAATGTAGAGTTGAGATTTGAACCTATGTTCTTTCCTATCTCTCATTAAAGAGCTTTATATGCAGGAGCTCTGGTAGCATAGTGGCTAAGGCACTTGACTGCTAACCAGAAGGCAGGCGGTTCAAACCCACCAGCCACTCCTCGGAAGGAAGGTTGGGCAATCCTACTTCCGTAGTGATACTGCCTCGGAAACCCAAGGAGGGGTCGCTATGAGTCGGGGCCGACTCGACGGCAAACAACAACAACAACATACTTGTCAAATTTTAGAGAGAGCAGTCAGGTTGCAGTGTGGACTTGGCTTTATGGAAGACAGAACTAGAACCATGAATGCTAATTAAGGGGCTACTGAAATTGTCCTGGTAAGAGGAAGTGGTAGCATAGTGCCTAAGGCACTTGACTGCTAACCAGAAGGCTGGCAGTTCAAACCCACCAGCCACTCCTCGGAAGGAAGGTTGGGCAATCCTACTTCCGTAGTGATACTGCCTCGGAAACCCAAGGAGGGGTCGCTATGAGTTGGGGCTGACTCGACGGCACATAACAACAACAACAACAAGAGGAAGTGAACTGAGCAATGGTGGTGGAATGGAGAGGACAGTACAGATTTGAAAAAAACATTTGGGAATTAGAATAGGCAGAATATTTGATTAATTTGAGGTGGATGATAAGGGGGAAAGTGACTAAAATAAATCTCAGATTTGGTTTGGGGTTTAAATCTCTGATATGTAATCTTGGGGATTTAATTTACTGTCTCTAAACCTTAGTACTTTTGTTTTCAAATGGGCATTTTAACACCAACATTGCAAATTATCAGTGACTAACGAAATATGTCTTGTATATAGTAGCAGCTGAATCAGTGATCTACCACATGACTAATCTCTCCCTTTGGATTTTAAGGAGTTCCTGACTGATGTAAACAGTTAAGTGTTTGACTGCTAACTGAAAGTTTGGCAGTTCAAACCCATCCAGAGACACATCAGAAGAAAAATCTGGCAGCCTACTTTTGAAAAATCAGCCATTGACAACCTTATGGAAAACACTTCTACTTTGGTGCACGTCAGGGCACCATGAGTTGTAATCAACTCAACAACATCTGCTTGGTTGTATTTTAAAGGACTGACCTAACTTTAAGAGTCTCCTTTTAAAATGAACATGCTTTTGGAAAGGGTCAGGGGCAGTTAAAAAGAAAAAAAGAAGAAGAAGGAGAAGAAGAAGAAGAAGCAACTAGAAAGAGAAGATAAAATGTCCTTCTAAATACTTTACCTTGCTGGTTTTGGCCAAGTTCTTTATGACGTTCACTTGTTTTTCATCCTGAGGTTTTACACGAAACACCTTTCCCCTTTAAGAACACAAAGAAGGAAATTGTGAACTGTGTAAAGAAACATTCCTTAATCCTCTTCTCACAGAAAACTGGAAGACCAGGCAGGAAGATTTACCTGTCAAAGCGGACAGGAGCAATGGCGAGAGTGGTTGCAATCAAACTCAAGGGCAGGATGAACCTCATGTTCTTCTTTTCTGGCCTCAAGGCCCTCAGCCAGTTTTATACCTTAGCTCTTATCATGAGGAGCAGCTGATTTCCTCTTGGGTTCTGTTGGATGAATCGTCTTCCCTCCCTTCTTATTTCTAGCTGGGGAGGGAAAGGAAGGATATGACATATAGTGGGCATAGGTACACTGTCATTCTGCTAGTATACCTTTTGGGACAGGGAATGCCCCTTTTACAGATAAAGTATAGTAGGCATGCTGATTGCTGCGGGTTGGGGGGGGAGGGGAGGGAACACTGCAAAAAAAAAAAAAAAAAAAATGCATTGACCCATGTCACTTTAGTTTTGTGTATTTGACTGTACATAAATTATATTTCAATAATTTTTTTTTTTTTTTAAGTATAGTAAGCAAACTTTCTCTTGCAGAACAGGTGGTGGGTTCAAACCACTGACTTTTTGGTTAGCAGCCCAATGCTTTAACCACAGTGTCTCCAGGGATCATTTTCTGAATCTTACAGGTGCCCAAAAAAGCTATTTGAAGGTTGAATTTATTAAAGCCATTTGTTGATCATTTTAAATAGTCTCTGGAGATAGTCTTCAACACAACTCGGCAAATTATAGATTTTTTAGGAGAAGGCAACACTTTTGAGTTCTGACAAAGTGAATGAAGTTATGTAATGAGATAGCTTATTTAAATTTCCTGTTTCAAACTACCTCTTTAGATGGGCACATATGAAACTTCTTAGATTCATGGTTGTATGTTTTTGTTATCATTCTAATGTTTGGGAGGAGATGCCCCTGTTGCACATATAGCAGCAGTTTTTCATTCCTCTTACTCTTACAGTGTGGGATATAACAAGACTTTTTAAAAATACTCTCAAAAGGTACCCCCTCCCCAACTCTGCAGGTGAAGATAGGAAGGGTTTATAAATGCCTTTATGTCCTTGAAATTGAGGAACCTCATCAGCACTAGAAATTCCCCAAAAATGCTTCTTCTATTGCTTGTATCTCAGAGTGTGCGCCACCACTTGTCTGTCAGTTTTTCACATTATGGTGGCTTGCATGTTGCTATGGTGTTGGAACTGGCATTTCAAATACCAGCAGGGCCACCCATGGTGGACAGGTTTCAATGGAGCTTCCAGACTAAATCAGACTAGAAAGAAGGACATGGCCAGGTCCACTTCTGAAAAAATTGGCCATAAGCAACAACTATAAATGTGGACCTCATGGAGGAAATACAGAGTAATCAAACAGCTACATCTGTGGAAAAGATGATGGAAAAGCTCAATATCATCAGCCACAGAAAGGCCAGGGCCAACTGTAGAACAGACCATCAATTATTCATATGCAAGCTCAAGATGAACTTGAAGGAAATTAAAACAAGTCCATGAGAGGCAAAGTACAACCTTGAGTACATCCTATCTATATTTAGAGACCATTTCCAGCATAGATTTGACACACGAACATGAATGACTGAAGACCAGATGAGTTGTGGTATGATATCAAAGACATTATAAGTAAAGAAAGAAAAAAGGTCATTAAAAAGACAGGATAGAAAGAAAAGACCAAAATGGATGTCAGAAGAGAGTCTGAAAATTGGTCTTGATGTAGAGCAGCTAAAGTGAATGGAAAAAAATAAAGTAAAAGAGCTGAATATAAGATTTCAAAGAGTGGCTTGAGAAGACAGAGTAAAGTTACAGGCATATCTTGGACATAATTATTGGCTCAGTTCTCAAAAAAACCAAACTGAACTCACTGCCATGAAGTTGATTCTGACTCACAGTGACCCACCTACTTTGGGTTTCTGAGGTGGTAAATATTTACGGAAGTAGATTACCCAGTCTTCCTTCCGCAGAGTGGCTGGTGGGTTAGTAGTGCTAATGCCTTAGCACTACTCCACCAGAGCTCCTTCAGTTATAGACTGAAGCAAATAACTACAATAAAACAAATATTGCAATAAAGCTAGTCACATGAGTTTTTTTTTTTTTTTTT